TGTGTGTGTGTATATATATATATATATATATATATATATTAAAGTTCTCTCATAAAATTAGAAGATGTTTAATGTACCACTTTTTAAAAAAAATTGGTGCATTAAATACACATGGATTAATGGAGGACAAAAGTGTCACAAAAAAATCAGTAAAATTCAAATAATGTACTTAGATAAAATAAATATCAAAATTAACAACTTAATTACCCAATATTTTTTTCTATATACTTTTTTACAATTAAGTTTAATTTAGTGTACCTCCTTCCAATTTTTCCATTATTTATTTACCAAGCAGACCCTAAGGGCCCGTTTGTTTTGAGTATTAGAGTGGTATAAGGAGGTGGTGTTAGAAAAATAGTACGTGAGACTCATCTTATACGTTGTTTGTTTGACATTTTATAGTCAGTACTATTTTCTGGATCGTAATACTGACTCGCTATGAATAGTAGCCATAATGCTTTATAGAAGGTTTTAATGAATACCACTTAGAGGGTGGTATTATATTCTTGGTATATGTATTATAAACTAAAAAGACCAAAATATCCTCTACTATAATTTCCATATAAAAACCTAGTCGTACTTTTTAACTTTTTAAAGGTTAAAATTGTCTTTTACATTGGTTAGCCGTAATTATTAATTTTTTTAAGTACGTATTACACAGATAATATTTGTGATAAATAAACAAAAAGAATAATAAGATTATAGTTTAACCTCGGATATAATATACTATTGAATTAAAATAAAATAAATATAAAATTTTATACTACATAAATTTTATACTCAGAAACAAAAAGTAGAATGTAAATCCATGATTCACGAGGCGGGGTTGGTGAGAGATTGAGACAACACTGAGATCCCGATACGATATAAAGGTGAGAATTATATTTTGTACTCAAAATTTTTATGAATTTGTTTTTATACTCTTAAAATTAATTTTTTTATATTATACCTTCTAATTTATTGAAAGCGTTAAAATGTGACCCTTATTTTAGTTTCTGTTATTCATTGCATCAAAAATCATCACATGGATATTGAANATTAATTTTTTTATATTATACCTTCTAATTTATTGAAAGCGTTAAAATGTGACCCTTATTTTAGTTTCTGTTATTCATTGCATCAAAAATCATCACATGGATATTGAAAAAATAAGCGATTGCAATACTTTCAATGTATTAAGGGTATAATATAAGAAATATAATCTTTAAGAGATTAAAGTGNTTACAATTAAGTTTAATTTAGTGTACCTCCTTCCAATTTTTCCATTATTTATTTAGCAACAGGGCATTGTTGGGCTTTATTCTTCAACCCACGCTCCCAAATCCCCCCGACCCACGTACCAAGCAGACCCTAAGGGGCNTTATTTAGCAACAGGGCATTGTTGGGCTTTATTCTTCAACCCACGCTCCCAAATCCCCCCGACCCACGTACCAAGCAGACCCTAAGGGGCCGTTTGTTTTGAGTATTAGAGTGGTATAAGGAGGTGGTGTTAGAAAAATAGTACGTGAGACTCATCTTATACGTTGTTTGTTTGACATTTTATAGTCAGTACTATTTTCTGGATCGTAATACTGACTCGCTATGAATAGTAGCCATAATGTCTTATAGAAGATTTTAATGAATACCACCTAGAGGGTGGTATTATATTCTTGGTATATGTATTATAAACTAAAAAGACCAAAATATCCTCTGCTATAATTTCCATATAAAAACCTAGTCGTACTTTTTAACTTTTTAAATGTTAAAATTATCTTTTACATTGGTTAGCCGTAATTATTAATTTTTTTAAGTAGGTATTACACAGATAATATTTGTGATAAATAAACAAAAAGAATAATGAGATTATAGTTTAACATCGGATATAATATACTATTGAATTAAAATAAAATAAATATAAAATTTTATACTACATAAATATTATCCTCGAAACAAAAAGTAGAATGTAAATCCATGATTCACGAGGCGGGGTTGGTGAGAGATTGAGACAACACTGAGATCCCGATAAGATATAAAGGTGAGAATTATATTTTGTACTCAAAATTTTTATGAATTTGTTTTTATACTCTTAAAATTAATTTTTTTATATTATACCTTCTAATTTATTGAAAGCGTTAAAATGTGACCCTTATTTTAGTTTTTGTTATTCATTGCATCAAAAATCATCACATGGATATTGAGAAAATAAGCGATTGCAATTCTTTCAATGTATTAAGGGTATAATATAAGAAATATAATCTTTAAGAGATTAAAGTGNAATTAAATTATTAAAATAATTAAAAAATTAATAATTAAAAAATATGTGTTCACTTGATTTTTTACTCGATTTTTTACCCAATTGTTTTAGATGGAATTTGGATAGAAATAGTATATTTTGGGGAGGGGTTTGGATTGATTTGTCTATATTCATGTTTGGTATGCGCACGGATATATGACTAATATGATAATATATTTGTATTTAAATAACTATTGTGCCTCTTAACTAATTTAATCAAAACTCATGTTTGTTTAGGTATAAAATTGATTTGTTAGCTTAAACCCATTAACCCACGTATGAAAACCACCCCCCNTTTAATCAAAACTCATGTTTGTTTAGGTATAAAATTGAT